TGTTGAAGAGACTGTCATTTCCCCATTGTATGTCCATGGCTCCTTTATCGTATATTAATTGACCATATATGTTTGGGTTAATATTTGGAGTCTCTATTGTGTTCCACTGGTCTGTGGCTCTGTTCTTGTGCCAGTACCAAATTGTCTTGATTACTGTGGCTTTGTAGTAGAGCTTGAAGTTGGGGGGCGAGATCCCCCCCCACTTTATTCTTCCTTCTCAGGATTGCTTTGGCTATTTAGGGTCTTTGTTGGTTCCATATGAATTTTTGAACTATTTGTTCCAGTTTGTTGAAGAATGCTGTTGGTAATTTGATAGGGATTACATCAAATCTGCAGATTGCTTTGTTCTCTTTATATTTTTAAAAGGACTTCGAGGCAACAACTCAAATATCCATCAGTGGAAGAATGGATAAACTGATTTATACACACAATGAGATATTGTTCGGCTTTACAAAGAAAGGAGGTTTTGACATATGCTGTAATGTGGATGAACTTTGAAGATTTACCCCAAAAGCCAGCACTGTGTAATTCTATTTACATGAAATGTGTAGAAAAGGTAAATCCATAGAGACAGAAAATGGATTGGTGGATGCCAGGGTTTGTGGGGAGGAGGGAATGGGGAGCAACTGCTTAATAGGTATGGGGTTTTCTTCTGGGGAGATGAAAATATTTTGGAACTAGGGAGGTGGTGGCCATATAGCACTGAATGTACTAAATGCCACTGTTCACTCTAAAATGGTTAATTTTATGTTATGTTAATTTCACTTCAATAAAAAAAAAATTCAAAGTAATCTAAGGGTTTCCTTTTGTGGGATTAAAAAAAAATCTGTTAGGGCTCAGAATGGTGGTACCTGATGCCACATTGAGGCCTTTATGATGACTTTGAAATTGGGCCATGTAAGTATCATGTTTTATCTGTAAAGCTACTCATGCCCCGTGGACTTCAGGTACAGTTGAATCAGCACAAATTCATACACGTTAATGAAAAATCTATCTGAAAATATGTGCCCTTGTGCTTTGGGTCAGGGACATCATCCCTGGATGGGAAACATCTCCTCTGTGCTCAGTGACCCTGGCAGTATGGCCACATGATTCCCAGTAACACTTCCAGAGCTGAGTCACTGTGGGAAGGCTGTCCATGCATACACACCCGGTCGATGCCTGAATTTCCCCCCTTAACACTTGAGGAATATGTGGACTGTGGAGAATGAGGGAAACAGTGAAAAGTAAAGGGAAGAAAAGTAAACTCATGTCTAGTTCCAATGCTGTTGGTATAGTTTCTCTTTTTGGATTTTCTCATACTTTGTTTCCTCCTACATAATATTTTTTCTAAACAAAACTGAGATTCTACTGTAAATTATCATTTCTTTTAGTTCCTCTTGGTTTGGTTCATAACTTGTCTTGAGCCACACAGCTTGCTTTTCACTGGACGTACTGTGGGCATCACCACGCCACATCCTCGGACTGCTGGACCCTTAAACTGCACCCACTTTTCCTTGTGATAAATAATGATGAGAGAAATTTACCCCTAAAGACAATCGACTGGAAAAAAACACTTTTGGAATTCAAGTAAACGAAGTGTAAACAGAAAAATAAAATCAGGATGGCAATATTCATTCAATCTCAAAATACCTCCAATTGTGGCAAAACCAATCCAGACCCTGTGCTCTTTATGTGAAGTTATGTTACCTTGAAATAAAAGGGACTCACTTAGAAAAGAAAATGTAAATACAACTTCAAGGGGATATATGTTGATTTTAAAAGCATAATTTGTATAGTTTACATACTATCATCCAAATGTCTTCTTGTTAAATCGTTTTTGATGGAAAAATGATAAAACTGGGATTATTTAATGCTATTTTATAACTCAGATTTCACTAATTCAAATCACATCATCTCAGGTGAGATATTATTAAATGCTAGGATAGAATTATATACCTAAGGACATTAATTCTGAGACCTCATAACATTAAATGTACAAAATAAAAGGACTTCTCATATTAGGAAGACACTATGGATCAGCTTGTTTGCCAGCAGTAGAGGGAAAAGTATTTTTTAGAGGATTTCTAAGTGGATCACAATAAAATAAAAAAGGGTACTTTTTTTAACTACAGGGGCTGAAAATGCACGAATTCCAGGATAAGTGGCTTTATTCATTTCTATGAAAAACGAAAAATGTTTTGAAAAACTCTTAATTGTAAAGAATATTCTTAGCATATGTTTATAACTATTAGATGTGGTTTTTAAACAAACATACAAACAAAAAACTAGACAGATTACACATGAGTTTGTAAGTCTTTTAAAGAAAATGATCTGATTTACGTAGAGGATCTTAACAAGTAAGTCTTTTTAAAACCACACTTTGAACTTCACTTCCTTTTAGATACTTGTTTTTAACCTGAACTCACTGATGCCAGGCTGACCAGCTGTTATTTTTTACCTCTGCTGAGCACAGGCCAGCAGGTGAGGAGATGCCGAGAACCGAGTCCTCCGGCGCCCTCCCCCCTCATTTCTCCCTCACAGGGGCGGGGCAGTCTGCTCTCCGCAGGCGGTGCTGACTGGCAAGGCCTCACTCTCTTGTCCGAAGAGCCTAGAGCATGTGTACTTGATGGGGTGTGGGCTGCTTTGCATGCACGCACGTATGCCCACGCAGACACACACACACACACACACACACACACACGATTTCAATTATTTCCCCGCAATAATCCTTTAAGAAGGAATAAAAACTATGCTGAGAGACATGACTGTGACAAGACTTTTTGGCCACTAACCTTCAGTTTTTGCCTCAGCTTCGGGGTCCTCACTTGTTTCTGAAGGGACAAGCTGAGTAGAATCTTGAAAAAAAAATTTCTAAAATGACATTCATTATGTATTCTCATGTTCCAACACCTTACTGCTCCCATACCAAAAGAGTAGCTTATCCTGGTATTTAAACACATTTCATACTTCATGAACACAAAGGATAAGCATAGTTTTAAGTTTACAAGGGATAATAGGGTAATAAAGGCTAATCTTATACAGATATGGGGAGATATGAAACGTCCAGATATTATCAAACAATTCGGATTTACCCACATAAATGGACACAGAATAGCCTTCTATGTGAGCTAATGGAATTCACGTGGTCATAGTGGTCTCTTGCTGTCAAGAGGAATTACTAGGATAAAGAAAAGCCATTTGCTTTGGTTAACAGTTCCCCTCTTATCCTGCCAGCAGCCCCAGGGGGATTCACAATCTATTATTACATAGTATCCAGATCGATTTTTCTGGTGGAGAAGAATTAGGGCATATGGATTAAGTTCAACATAAGACAAAAGCCTGGTTAGGTTATCTCAACCAACTCTGACTCATTTTAGAAAGATCTGCCAAAGCTTATGTTAATTGTTAATAAAGGAAGAAAGACTAGAATTCAAAACTAGTTTAGCTGTTTTGATATTGTACTATTGTTATGGAAGATGTAACTTCTGGGGAAAAATGGGTGAAGGTACACGGGACCTCTCTGTACTATTCTTGTAGCTTCTTATGAATCAATTATTTCAAAATAAAAAGTAAAAAAAGAAAAATCAGAGTAATTCCGCTTTATTGTAAATGGTTGTCCCACTTACTGTGATAATAAAATCTCTTCAGAAACAAAGTATTTCAAAGGCCAACACCCAGTGAAATCTTTCTGACTCACTCACACTAACTGTATAATGGACTTCTATGTAGGCTGTCTTATACTACAATAAAAATGTATGTAACTTAGAAAAATAAACAGAAGTTAAGTAATGACAGTCAACTTGTCTTCTTGGTTTAAAGCAATTAAGTTCAAGATGACTAATTTTATAAGTGAACAAAGAATTGTAAGGCTGGAATTCTTGGTTGAGAATTGGACAAATTACTCAGGGGGCTGCTGGAAGTTCAGACCCCCTCCCCCCAATACTAGAGAAGCAATTAAAAATGACTGCAGATCAGCTCCTTGGAGAACACCTTTCTTTGACTTTGAGAAAAATACAGGTCATTTGGTACTAAAAGCATTATCATCTTGTCTGCAAACTGACAAAGATATTCCACGTCTTTAGATTTGGAAAGGAAATTTCATTCATTCATATTACCTTGGACATGTATACCACAAGTTCAGGTCTTAAATATGATGCTCAAGATTAATATATGAATGCAGACAAGTATTATCAAATTTTACTTATAATTCAAGAATGTTCTAAAGTATTTTTCAACTCTGTTCAAAAGAATTTTGGCATGCCCACCGAGAAGACAAAGCAGGTGTGAAGCTTTCTTACCACTTAACTTCTGTATCCAGGTGCTTTAAGTAGAACCACTTACAGATCAGAAAAAAAAGAGTGATAGCATTTTTAATAGTACATTTTAGGACTACTACTCAGCCAGTTTTCTAAGAAGGCATGCCAGTAAGTTACTTACTTTATTTTCAAACATGTTGTTTAAAAGAGCGTGTTCTCTATAACATACTGTAAATTAAAGAAAAAAAAAAGCCTCATTTTCTAACCTTCCATCGGTAATTCCATGTCTATTATTTCACTGCTCGCTGAGTTATAGCTTTCTGAAAGGAAAGCAAACAGTAGATAAAAAGGGCAGAAATATATGCACAGGAATGTATATGAAATTCTTCGACTTCTGGAAATAAAATTCACACAAGTGATCCTTTCTTTACATTTTTTTTCTTTGCTACTTTATCTATAGTTCGCAAAAGTGTCAAACATAAAGCAGAGAGAAGGTATAATGAAACCATCTGCCCATCCCCCGGTGCCAACATTCCTCAGCTCCCATAATCCTGTTTGTCTGTGCCCACCCAGGCTGTCTAAAGTGAATCCCAGGTATGGAATTCAGCGGGCAAATACTGCCTCTCCACGAGACAGCTCTCCTCCTGCAGCTCCACCACATCGCCCGAATAACGATTATTTTGACTATCATCTCCTATCTAGTCATTGTTCAAATTTCCTCAAATGTCTCATAAATGTGTTCCTCTAAAGAAACTTTATAAAGTTGGAAATAGTTTTTAAATTTACAGAAAAGTTGCAAAAACCATACAAAGATCCGTATACCCTTTACTCAGATAACATAATGTTAACATTTTACTCTATTTTCCTGTATCATTTGTAACCTTTGTTTCTCCCTCCCTGTCATTTTATCTATATAGATGTTTATTCTTTTTCATGCTATTATAAGTGGAATTTTCTTAATTTCATTTTTGGATTGTTCATTGCTTATAGAAATATAACTAATGTATACTGCCCTTGTACCCTGCAACCTTGCGAAACTCATTTATGAGCTCTAATAGTGTATGTATGAGTGTGCATGTGTGTAATGTATTCCTTAGGATTTTCTATGTACAAGATCATGTCATCTGCAAATAGAAATAGTTGTACTTCCTTTCCAATGTGGATGGCTTTTTCTTACGTCATTGTCTTACCTAGAACCTCCAGCACAATGCTAAAAAAAAGTGGTTAAGAACAGACATCCCGGTCTTAGCGGGAAAGCCTTCAGTCTTGCATCATTAAGGATGACATTAACATTAAGGATGCGGTTTTTGTAGATGTTCTTTATTAGGTTGAGGACATTCCCTTCGATTCTTTGTTGTTGAGGGTTGTTTTTTTTTAAACCATAAAAGGGTGTTAGATTTTGTCAAATGTCTTTTTCCTACATCTGTTGGGGTAATCCTGTGGTTTTTGTCCTTTATGCTGTTATGATGTATTTCACTGATTGATTTTCATATGTTGAACTAATCTTGCATTCCTAGGGAAGTCCCATTTGGTCATGATGTATGATCCTTTTATATGTTGCTGGATTCATTTACCAGTATTTTGTTGAAGATTTTAGTGTGTGTGTTAATAAGGGATATTGGTCTGTGATTTTCCTTCCTTGTGTTGTTTTTTGTCTGATTTTGGTATCAGGACAATACTGGCCTCATAGGAGTTGGGAAGTGTTCCTTCCTCTTCCATTTTTTTGGGAGAGTTTGTAAAGGACTGGTGTTAATTTAACACTTGGTAGAATTCACAAGAGAAGTCATCTGGTCCTGGGATTTTGTGGCAGAAGTGTTTTGATAACTAATTCAAATTCTTTACTTGTCATGTGACTATTTAAATCTTGTGTTTTATCTTTAGTCAGTTTCAGTAGCTTGTCCATTTCATCTGAGTTACTTACTTTGTTGTCCTATAATTGCATAGTATTTGTGGTAGGCAGATGCTCCCCAAAGATACCCAAAACTTGCGGTTATATTATGTTACATGGCAAGAGGCGATTAAGGCTGCAGATGGAACATCTTGCTTATCGATTAACCTTCAGAAAAGGAAATTACCCTGCATTATCCAGCTGTGCTCACTGTAACGGCAAGGGGCATTTAAATGTGGAAGAGGGAAGCAGAAAAGTCTGTGTCAGAGTGATGTGATGTGATGTGATGTGAGAAAGACAGTGTTAACTCCTTCACCTTAGGCTTTTGTACCCATTTTCCCTCGCCTGGAAGGCTCCTTCTCCAAGTCATGCAGTGTCAGCCAGGAAGAAAACTGAATAGTGTTTATATTCTTACACCTACTAATGTTAGGGAGCCGGGGCACAGTGTATCTTGGCAAAACTTGTACTGTGCATTCTTCATTTCCAGGGATCCTGGAGGTGGGGTTCTTGCACATGTGAAAGGCTCTATGGGACGTCCTTGGGCTCCATGTCAGCCTGGATGTGTGTATGTGTATGTGTCGGGGTTTTCCATGAGGTCTGTGCTGCAGATGGACTGTGAGGTCCTGGCTGTGAAGGGGTGGGGGGTCAGAGTTTCACACTAACCTAGTAGGAGTGTCTGAGCACTGGTGGGCCATGTCAGGGCGCTTCCCAAAGGTCAGTTGCCATTCTGACATGGCTGCATTTGTTGATTTTAGGAATTTAAAAATTTCTCCCTTACTTAAAGAATATATAGAGACATCAATACTTCAACATGTGGGTATTTAACCTAAACGGTTACACAAACCTTCAGTGATGAGGAATGTGGTTCATGATGTTGGGCAATTTTAACCCTTTTGGCATCAAGAAGGAAGGGGCCCAATTTAAGGAACTGTACAAAGATCTTTTCATTATTTCTGTCATTTCTAAGCCAAGTAAGAGAAAGATTTATAAACTGCACATCTAACTTAAATGTTTTTCTTCAAATAATGTCTCTGTCTGAAAAACTAAAATAGAATGATTGCAAGCACATCTATTTAATCATTTATTTCACTCCTGCCTTTGGGAACAGAATCTGCAACTCTCCTATCCCTAACAGTACTTGTTTTGATCAACACCAAGGTTATTTAAGTTCAAAGTATATTCTTGGGAATCAAGATATAATTTGATTATGAGCACTTTTGTCAAAACAACAGTAAGTTACAAACAGAGGTTACATTGATTCTTTGTTGAGGGATACGCTCAATTCAACAAGCACATGCAAGTGCCCGATGTGTTCAGAGCCCCCCGTGGCTGAGGGAGTCCTCAGCAAAAGCATGGATAGAACACAGCAGGCTGTTCTAAACGCTGTGTGCAGTTAGGGAGCTGAAGGCTCCGGGCAGGAGTTGAGGTTCTGATGGGCCCAGAAAGAGGGGTGGAACCCTCACAAGTGTTCAAAGAAGGGATTCACTTGGAGGGATCAGATTATGAAGAAGCCTGGGGGAAGGAGGATTTGGGACATCTTTAAGGGATCACAGGAGCTGTGTCTGAAGAACTAAGGGTGAGGGCTGGGGAGGCAGACGGAACAGCAGGGGAGGCCAGAAAGAGCAGTAGGAATGTCTCAATAAATCACACTGTATAGGTGATAAGGAGCCACAGAGAGTAAGGAGCAGGCGAGGGAGGAGACAGAGCCCACTTCTCAAAAAATAAATGCTGCAGCGGGGATCTAGAGTGTAGGATGGATTGAACCTAGAGGGAGGGAGATGGGCTGCAACGGACTGTGATGGCCAGGGTGTGTGTGTGTGAGAGAGAGAAGTAGAGAGACGGGGCTGGCCCAGGACACAGTAATTACAACAGACACTTTCATTGGTGTCTGCTTTTAGATTTTTTTTTGAAGACATTTTTGTAGAAGTTCCAGAACTATATAATGCTGCAGGAAAATTTCAAAGTTGAGATTTTGTAGGAGGCATTTCAAATTTGATCATAATGTTTGTGGAATTAATGGCCAGTTGTCTCACACTCTGCCAACATTCACAGGGGAGCTCAAAGATGGAGAAAGGATCCAATGTACAAATTCTTATACTATATTGCCAAACTGTTCTCACACTGGAGTCCAGAAGGTTCTGGTCTTTGGGCGAAGGATCAAACCACACAACTGCATTGACCACCAGACCACCTACCCGTGCCATGTCTGAAAAGTGTGTGTATTTGGTAATAATTGTCTGCTCTCCATTTAATTTGTATGATGTCAGTGAAGGAACTATTATTAGGAATGGGCATCTAAATTTCTTAACTCTTATCTCCATCTTTTAACTGTTACTATTTTCTCAGGAACAGACTGGACAGGAGAGGATTATGGGGGAAATGTTTTGAATACACAAAACATGAATATTTAGTCAATAAAGTCAAGTGAAATGCACCCTGGAATACTTTCACATTCATACATATATGCCTAGGAACTTAGGGATCTAGGCTAAACAGAATCTATTTCATGAATGTAACATGTTTTCCTCTAAATGGCAGTAGGCTGGATCCTAAGAAAACACAAATGGATCTTTATTACTCTTTGCCTGTTTTTCAGATAAGTGGTAATGGAAATTTTCCATCACAAATAACTTTTTGAGAAGAAAATTACTATAAAATGGGATTACCTTGTGTATTATATTGATAGTAGTTAAAATCCTCTGATTCTTTCTTGACTGAGACAGTTGTTGCTTTCGTGGAAATGCCTTGAATGCAATGGAAATTATAAAATTAGTGTTAGGCCAAACCCACCAATGAAAAGTAGGACCAGCTGATCAGAGTGTTAACTCCCAGGTTCTGTTTTGATTAACACTGCAACATTATCATCAGTGAAAGAACCTGTAGCTCACACTATCAACAAAAGGCATATCCCTTTAAAAATACAAATAATATAGAATAATATAAAATCAGTATAAAAGGAAAGAGGAGAGGAAGAAGAGGAGGATGAAGGAAGGAATGAAGAAGGAAGGGAGGGAAAGAAGGGAAGGAAAAAAAGGCCTAGTTTCTAGTTCCAGGAAATTTTCCCTTTCAGGATGGCTGAATTTACATGAAATACTCAAAGTATTCTTCTGTAATAGGACCTGAATTGGTATGTATAATCTTAATTTGCCTATTACAAAGAAATGGGTTTCAAAATGTGGGGAAAACTTTAGTAAAGCCAAAATCCTTTATCAGGGAAAGGTGTGGTAGATTAAATTTGCAAAAATCAGCCACAGATTTCTCCCACCCCAGGAGGCACACCTGTATGCAATGTGTCTTTCCCACTTCTCCTTTCTAGAAGTGCAGGCAACTTCACCCTTTAAATCTGGGCCTGGCCACGGGACATGCTTTGGCTATGGGACAGTGGCTACTGGGATGAAGGCAGAGGCTTGGGAAGTGCTCCTGCCTCAGTGCCAGCTTAGTTTGGAACCAAGCTGCCATGTGAACAGACCTGGGCTGGCCTCCTGGAGGACGGGAGACTGTAAGGAGAGAGAGGCTCATCTTCCAGTGAGGCCTCGACCATCCAACCCTTGCCGAACCAGCCCAGGCCAGAAGGAGGGCCCAGCCAACACACAGAACTGGGAGAAAGATGGATCACTGTTTGAAGCCACTAGGTTTGGGGTAGTTTTTTACACAGCAGTAAGTAACGGATATTGAAATATACATGTAATTTAATCATGAATGTTAACAGTAAAAGCAAAAACTGTGGCACAACTTGGTATTCACTGTTTAGCATTAATTTTCAAGTTCTGAGAGGTCTTCTGAAAACTTTTAACAACTCGGTTGGTATAAGGATAGTGAGATTAGATATTAAAGAAGGTGATTATTGAAAAGAAGAATTTGTTTAGAAAAGCTGAGGAGCAGAACGGATATGGCTGATGGCCACATTAATGAAATGGAAGATTAAGTTGAGGAAATTGCTCAGAAATGGACAAAATGGGCATCTGCTGGGAATGTTAAAGGGACATTGTTAAATGGAGAAGTAAAAGAAAAAGAAAAAGGCTGTTTATGTGTTTGTTTTTAAGTGATCTGAAAGAATTTTCACCTATCGGTTAAGAGTTGTTGCCCCTAAAATGGGGATGGGACCTGAGGTGCACAGACAGGTTTTGGGAGATGGGAGCTGCAGAGGGGGAGTGAAAGGCCAAGAGGAATTCTACTTCTACTTATTACTAGTCTGCATTTAAAAACTTTAACCATGTATAACTTGTATAATATTTCATAATAAATTTTTAAGTACTAGTTCCAAGTTGATTAGGACTAATGACTCTAATAGAAACATCTGATAAACACATGACAACTATTCTGTCAAAGAAAAATTCCTCTTAATCCAGGCAATTGAAACCAGATTTGACTGTGCAGGATATAGAATTTGTTTGAAATGCTAATGAAACAGATTTACTTCAGCCTTTCCTCTAAATGAGAGGGAGTGGATGGGGGACTCAAACTCAAAGCCACTGAAACACTTCTTTTATGTAGTAAGTGCTATGCAAACATCACAAGGAATCAGGCCCTTGGATGGCCAGCTCACCAAAGCCTGTAGGCAGCTGGAGGTGATGAACTGTATTGCATCATGAGATCTATAGTAGAAAATCACATTAATAGGGAGCATTTTTTTTGTTTGATGTGAATCACAGCTTCAAAGAGAAGTTTCCACAAAAGCAAACCATTTTAAGGTTGGGTGGGAAATGCTGCTCATCCCCCCAACAGCTGGTGAGGAAGGAGGCAGGAGGCATGGGCTGTGAATCCATAGAAGGCCCTCTTGGGGAGCTGACATCCTCCCACCCCCACCCAACTTGTCTTGCCAGTCTTTAAGAGGAGAGGCTGAGACTTGGAGGATTCTAAATTCTCTGTGAGCATCTGAGACACAGGTAGAACATATCTGAGCTCTGAAAGCCCTGGAGGCTAGATTAAACTGGGCCAGGGCACATGCATGGCATGTGTGAGATGATGGCTCCACAGCTGAATTCTGCTCAGCTAAAATTCTTGGCTTGTTATTTTCACTGACTTACCTAGAGTAATGAAACTGGACAAGCACCATGATTTTTCAGACTTTGCCATTTAGGATGGACTCTGTCATTTGGGATGGGAGGCTCAGGAGCACCCGTGGCAGGGGAGGAAGACCCTTGGGTATGACAGGGGAGGAGGCTGGTCCATGCATGTCCCGGGGTCCCCAGAGGGCTGAGGAGGCAGCTAAGTGTAAGCCACACCTGGACGGCTTCAGTGAAGCTGGTGTTCTGCCTCCCATTTCATTCACACAATAGACTCTAGTTTCTTTTTCTCTTCATATTTTCTTCTTAATATTGAATATTGTTTTCTTTTGAATTTTCTTGGATTTAATTTTAACTTTATATTTTGAGCTGTTCATTTCCTATCTCTACATTGCTTTTCTAAGCATGATAACACTAACTGTAGACTTACCCTCTTACAGCCAGCTCGTGTCCATATTTACTGAGTTTTGGCTTTATGTACTTATTTATTTTAGGTTTTCTAACCTTCCCACTTTTAATACTTTCAATATTTTCCCATTCCTTGATTAAACAATTGCATTAAAAATATTTTTTTCTTATTTTTAGCTATTTAACATTTTCCCTCTAATTAATGCCATTTTTATTTTTTTAAGAGGTGGGTAGACGCAGGGATGGAAATCAACTACTCTCATCCATCATAGAGGGACTTTTTTCCTAAAGACATGTCACAGTGATGCAGGTCTATTGTAGAACATTTATAAATGACAGAAGAGTGCAAGAAAGAGTAAAGTATGTCCAAAACGAGACCACTGCTCTGTTTGTAAATCCAGTCATAATTCAAACATGTATTCAAGGCCTTTTACTCATTTTGCAGTCAGGTTCTAATTTACATATAACTAAAATAATATTTTGTCCACAAATGGATCTACTTAATAGCATCTTAGTAACTAGTCTTTACTGCATCAGAAGGCTCTTTAGTCTAGCTATTTGAGTAGAATATTATTATTCTGCAGATAAGGCTCTGTTTGAGGTTCATTAGTGCCCTAGTCATCATTTTTTTGTTGTTGCTTTTTTTGGACTTTCTAAGAGACCATCATGTCACCTGTGAACAAAGTTTTATTTCATCATTCCCAATCTATATACCTTTTATTTCCTTTTCTTGTCTTATTGCATTATCTAGGACTTCCAGTATGATGTCAGAAGGGAGTGGTGAGATGGGACATCCTTGCCTTGACCCTGATCTTGGTGGGAAAGATACAGTTTATCACCATTCATATAATGTTAGCTATAGTTTTTTCATAGATTTATAAAATTATTTGGAGGAAGGTCCCCTCTATTCCTATTTTAGTGAAATTCCAAATTTTTAAAAGTAAAACAAAAGAAAGTAAATGACAACCTGCTAAATATTTTATTCTAGAGGTGTAAGTGTACATACCAGAATCTTCCATGGGTTCACTTTTCACATTGACAGGGCCACAACTGAAAATAAAAGGGAACCCCAGTCAAGACAGGGTAAAAACTACCACAGATGTCTGGACACTGGTTCAAATCCCCTGAGCTCCATGCCATCTATCTCCCGCGGAGCCCTGGCCCGACCAACCTGAATGCAGAACGGCCTCAGTTTTACCATTAACTGTCTTAAAAATCTGTTACAAAATTAAAGGTGTTAATTGAATATAGCCTTATAATCCCAAGTGTCCTTTTGAATAAAGAATATATAACAAACTCAGGAAGACTTTCCCTAGTCTAAAAACTAACACTTAGGGGTCAGATGTGGATTTTATTTTTTACTAATCCCTTACCTTTCATTCAGTGATGTCACTGATCTCTCAGCATCTGGAACCATCACAGGCCCACCTGTGCAGAAGTAAAAAGACACACACTAGCACCTTTCTGCACCCTGAAATATGACAACATTCAAAGGCATACAGAGTGAAAGCAAATACACAGGAAACAGAACTCCCAGCTCTAGGTCATCATGGAAGAAAATAGGGGGAAAGACCAACTCAGAGTAGTCCCAGCATCTACGGCCATTGGTGTGGGCAGAACAGGGGCTGAGGAGCAGATGGGGCCAGAGAGACCTCGTGCAAGTTATTAAACCTCCCTATGCCTCACTTTCCTCATCTGAAAATGGCAGTTGGGTTAGGATTAATTAATAAATTCTTAGTGCTTATAACAGTGCCTGGCAGGGTGTAAACACTAAATAAGCATCTGCCACTATTATTATTCAATAATGAAAATACAAGCCACCTGGGGCAACAATCACCTGGTCACCTGCAACCCCTCACCCTCAGGCCCCTCCAAATGTAAGAGACAGGATTCCAGGTACACACAGTTGATCCAGAAACAGACTCAGCTCTACGGATAGTGCATGTGCAAAAGAATGTCATGTCGCTCTCTGTACCCTGGCAATGTGACTCATGAACTATGCGACCCCACCACACGCCCGGGCCATTTCATTTCTGTACCTATGCAGGCTCAGCACAACACCCTCTTTAGACCTGGTCTTTCAAGAACAGCTACGGCCCAAGGTTTCCAACTATGTTCCAGAATAATAATCTGAGAAAATAAGAAGGGGGCATAGGTGGATTTCTAAATGCTTCTGGGTAAGATGACTATTTTGGTGGGGTCCCTTCATCATTATAAGTTAAGGAGATTGTGAGGGGTCCTGGGCTTCCCTGAAGAACCAGCCTGTCATGAACCTGCTGACCTTGGGGGCCAGCTCCTCCTGAAGCCCTTCCTTCCCAGGGACCCTCGGGATTTCCTCCAGCCACCCTGAGAGCTCCATGGGTCACCCCTGGTTCTCTGCAGGACAGTCTTATTCCTTCTCCTAGACCATGAGCCTCAGAAGCGTGGGAATGGTCTCATTTCCTACATCTACTCCTGAGCCCACCAATGCTGGCCCGTGGCTGCTCTGGGCAAAGACCAAAAGCGATCCAGCATCCTCGTGCTCCTGTGCTCAGGGACATGTTATGCCCTCCTGCCCTTGACGGTCTGGAGGTGGCAGTCAGCCGGTGGGACAGCTGGGAGGAGCACTGCACCTTGGCTCTCCTGGCCAGGTGTGTCCTACCTTCCCTGAGCTGCCCACCCTGCAAACATCACAACCCCCAAACCCTGGCTGACAGAGGCTGCCTCCTAGGGGGAGAAGGCAAAGAATAAACAAGCTTTACAACGTGCCTAACTTGCATTTTAATTAAGAGAAGCAGAACTGGTTTGGCAGCCAAGGGCAGTCACCAGGTCTGAGACGCTGTCACTTACCGAGCTGATTTGCGGGACCTAGGAAAGGTCTGCAAGAAACCAACATGGACACACGAGAAAGATTAAACATCTGAAAAACCAGCTGCAAAGTGTAGCAAGACATCATTAATAAACCCTGAGTTAAACTATCAGTGTATCTGCAAATGAGCTGCCTGGTATGAGGGGGTCAAGCCTGCCACCTGTTTATGATGAATGAAATCCCCACTTTGTTCTCCAAAATCCATTTCAGGGTGGCCAGATCGTAGTTCTCAGGGTGCTGAAAAGCTACTCCTTCTGGAAGCCCCTCTACCACCACAGCCTCCTGGTCTCTCAGCATCTTCTCATACGGAACAGGCACCATTGCTGTCGTCCCCACGGCTTTACCTAGAAGAGGCAAGATGTCTTTACGTGGTATGAGCATGAAAATGTAGTCAGTTTCATTTTATGTAATAAATACAGGTGGTGACACTTGGCTTTGAGTATACATTAAAAGTGAAAATGCCCTATTCCTCGGTATCTATCCCAAGTTTAAAAATTCCCAGCCAAAGGGATGAAAGAAAAAACTTATAAAATGTTTTACTTTAAATCTTCACATGAGGAAGGGGTTGCACAATTTGGAGTACCCAACCTGGAACACGTTGGGCTGCACAGGGCACCCCATGGTTACTGCCGAAACAGGATGAGAGCCCCCACCCAAAGCTTAATCACTCCTAGGTCCCACTGCACAAAGCAGGCCAACGTATATCTGGTAAAGTTATGGAATCAGCATGGCCTCACATCCCTGTCTGGGGTCATGTCAGTCTTCTCACACTGGCTGGCCACCTCTGAGGCAAAGGAGCCCCATTTCTCATAGAGAAGTGAAGCCTGAGATCCTAAGATCCTCTGAGCTGGGGGCCCCCAAAGTCAAATGCTCACAGGGACCTGCAGGTCACATGAATGTGTGAAGCTGTCTAGGAATGATAAACGAGGCCCTATGGTGCTGTAAGGTGCTGCTATAGCAATTAAGTTCGGCACCTGTACAGTTATTAGGGTACCTAGCTTTTTAAAACACTGTAGGTATTACAAACAATCCCCATCTGTGGAAAGATGTGGGTAGGTGGAGAGACCAGTGAGGGTGGTGAGGCTGGTGATGAAACCCACAGTAAGCACCTTTAACGACAGTATTGGCCATGTGGTACGGGCTTCCTGAAATGGAAGCAAAGGATGAAAGCTGCTCAGTGCGGAGGTTTCAATGGACCAGAAGAGACTAAATTATCTTCTATATGAAGACTTAATCTGGTACTTAGACCCGGCTCTTCGCTTGATGAGAACATGGATTTTTGAATGTTAGAGACATTTTAAATAGTCACACTAAAAAAGTGATCTGAACACTGTCCTACTCCTCAGTGAACTGTTCAGGGAGTTAATGCTTAAAGTGAACTTTACCGTAACAAAAGCAGAAATAGTCTTCGACTGCTTTTCTGAGTATTTCCTTTTCCCCTGACTCGATCTGCACCTCGTGTGCAGGGCATGGGGGTTTCATCTCATGCGACCCTTTGGCAACACCTGTGAACAAGTGATCATCACTAAGTCAGTATGACAGCAGCTGTGCTATGTGCTTCCTCAATGTCTAGGCTTCTGGTATTGAAAGGGAGAAGGGAAAAAAGGGAATAAACATAAAACAAGATCTCTTAATTAAAAACAACAAAGGACAGGGTGTTTACGGTGAACAGGATAATATAACATGGCGATCATCTCTAAAATGAGTCTACGCATAAACAACTACAAGTAATTCAACACATAAGGAAATGCCCATAATGCAAAGGGAATTAGAATGGCAGTGCTATTTGCTGTACAGTCTGGATGTAAGTCGCCATGTAGGAAGACCTTCTCCACTGAGCACGTTCAGGACCAGCCCCACAACCGCTCACTTCTCCAAAGGCTTTGAAACTAATTGTTTTAATTAGAGTTAGCCGAGACAGAAACCACCCAATAATTTGAATGGGAAAGCTTAATAAGAGAATCATTAGCTACTAAGGGGCACTGAGAACGCTGGAGAATACATAAGTAGGTAGCAGAGCAGTGCCTAACGCCAGGGCTGCAGCTGCTCCCCAGAGGGAGGCACTAATCTGGAAGAGGGTCCCCCTGGTGCTGAGATCCAGGCTTCTCTGGGGAGGACCAGCCATGGCCTGTTGGGAGTAGAACAGTTGAGGCAGGAAGCAGGGTGCCAGTGGAAACCGCTGGCAAGTTGCCCACTGGGTGCCTGCCAGACTTGCTGTCCCTATGGGACACTGGCAGAGCTCTGGAAACCATCTATGGGGTGCTGCCAACAGAACTTTCTGGAAGCCACATTCTGGGGTATTGGCAGAACTCCCTGGGAAGCTGCCTATGGGTATGGGGCCACTGAAATTTGCTGGGAAACCTTCTGGAACTTTCTGGGCTGTGGGTGAGACTTGCTGTACAGTCTGGATGTAAGTCGCCATGTAGGAAGACCTTCTCCACTGAGCACGTTCAGGAGACTTGCTGGGAAGCTTGTGGGAAGCCAGTGGAAATGACTGGAAACAGCATGTGAGGGTGCCACTGGGGGTCACCACATGCCACAGATGTGAATAGGTGAGAACCCACTAGTCAGGAAGGGACACTCCTTCCTCCTGCAGGGGCCTCAGAGCCCCCTTCTAACAAAGCTAAACACTGTGCCAGCTGCCTAGGGACAGATGTTTGCAGGGTCCAGCTCCATTATCACAATGCAGGCAAAGAAGTGGGATGTGAAGTAGAGTGGCAATAAATTGGTAACTGTCACACTGAAGATTGTCACACAGTGACTTCTTGAGCCAGAGGGGTCCACACAAGAGTTATGTTCTAAGGGCAAATGTAAGGCAAAAAATATGTAAAGGCAAAATTATACAGCAGAAGGATCAGTGACCTCAAAAAAAGGTCAAAATAAGTTAATCTAACCTGAAGCTTGAATAGGAAAAAGAATGGGAAAAAAAAATTAAAAAGGAACAGAGCCTTAATTACCTGCAGGACACTATCAATTTTCTTCTGTATGTTTAAGTAAAGAAGAAAATAGATATCAGAATACATATTTGAAAAGATAATGGCCAAGAATGTCCAAAATTGCTGGTGATATTGACCTGCAGATTCACTAAACTCCAAAGACCAAGAGGGTAAAAACAAGGAGACCATGACTAGGTACAAGACAGTCCAGCTGTTGAAAAACGAAGATGAAACAGAGCTGGAAAAAAGATACACTACCTTCCGAGGAAGAAAGATTAAGAATCCAGCCTGACTTTGTACTTAAAAACAGTGGAAGCCAGAAGGCAATAGAGTGAAACTTTCAAAGGCCTGAAAGAAAAAAGTTGCCAAGATAGAATTCTGCATGAAATAATAATATTCTTCAAAAACAACAGCAGGAGAGTGACATGAGCAAGACTAGACTAAGAAGCAAAAGGCCTTCCTTCCCCATAATACACTGAGTTAACAATACAGTCAGGGCACCTGTGAGAATCTACAGACCAGCTGAGAAACCACAGCTCCCAAGCCACTGTCAAACCAAGGAGGGATTCCAGCACAGGGGCAGGAAAATTCCGGGCCTTGGGTGCACCTGTTTACGCCTCTCCCTCTGTATGGCATAGTGCTGAGCAACAAGGACACCACCCACCCTGAGGCTCCTCACTTGGGATGGAAACAAGAGTGGTCTATGTGTGTGTCCAGCATTCTGGCTCACCCGGGTCTGCTGGAGGAACTGGTTTCTGCCTAGAGTGACTCAGAATGGATTGGTGCCAGAGTTTGGAAAGTGACAGACTGCTTGAAGCAAGCATAATAATAAGGTGTGGCAGGATTTATAATATGTTAGGGCCAGAGGGAAGTAACCAGAACTATAGCTTAAGGTTCTTACATTGCAGGTATAGTTGTAAGATATTAATTTTAGATTCACTGGGATAGATTAGGAGGGCATACTGTAGTCCCTAAATCAATAAAAAAATAAAGAAAAAAAGAGCTGAAAAGCTAAGAGAGGAGATAAAATGTAAAAAAAAAAAAAAAGAAAATATTCTCAATGTAAAATGACACAGGGAAATAGGCATAAAGTAGCAAAGAAAATACTGGACAAACAGAAAAGAAAAAGCAAGACAGAAGCCTTAGAGTAGATCATATAAATAATTATATTAAGTATAAATGGATGAAACAATCCAAGGAGAAGAGATTTTTCAGACTGGTTTTAAAAAGAAAGAGACACAGATTAAATTTAAAGACATAACAGGTTGAAATTAATGAATGGAAAAAGATATGACACTATATAATATAGCTGGTGTGGCTATATTAGTACAGGACAAAGTAGACTTTAAGATCAGGAATACCAATGGAAACAAAGAGGAATATTTCATGAGGAAAAAAGGGTCAATTCACCAGGAAAACATTACAATCCTAAATGTGTATTTATCTAATAATACAGCTTCAATATATGAAGCAAACAGTACTGCTAAAAGGAGGAACAAATACACAATATAATTAGAGATTTTAACATCCCTCTGTCATTAACTAATAAAATAAGTAGGCAAAAATCAGAATGACACAGATGAATTGAATAACATTATTTAACAACTTGACCCAATTAGTCCATTAAATGGAGAGTCCCAAATTCTTTTCAAGTGCATATGGAATATTCACCAACATAAATGGTGTGCTAAGTCATAAATTAGGTCTTGATAAATTCAAAAGGATTAAAATATGGCATATGTTTTTGGACTACAATGAGATTTAATTGGAAATCAATATAAAAAAATTCCCAGATATTAGGATATTAAGCAATATGGGGCCAGAGGTCAAAAAGAACTAAGTAGGGATATTAGAAAGTTATTTTGAACTAAATTATAAAGAAAACATATAATGAATACACAAGTGTGGAGGTTTCAATGGGCCAGAAGAGACTAAATTATCTTCTATATGAAGACTTAATCTGGTACTTAGACCCAGAATGCAGTTAAAGTAGAACCTAAAGGGAAAATTATAACCTTAAATGCATATTTAAAATAAAGCCAATGACCTAGTTACCAAATCAAGAAGTTAGAAAGGCAATTAATTCAAAGAAATTATAATGAAACAATAAAGGTAAGTGTAGAACCAAATGACAAAGAAAATAGGCAAAAATATAGAAAAATCAATAAAAACAAAAGGTGGTGCACTGTAGATGTAAGTAAAATCAATGAATCCCTTTTAAGATTTATGAAGAAAAAAGAGAGGAAACACAAATTGTGTTTCCTCATCAGAAACAAAAGTAGAGACATCAGTATGACAGGCGCTAAAATTATATGGCAAATATCATAAACCATTTCATGCCAACAACTTTGACAATTTAAATGAAGTAAACAGATTAAAGTTGAAAAAATAAAGTTTACTGAAATGGGTACAAGAAGAAATAGGAAATGTGAGGAGTCGTGTATCTGAAAAATAAGTATGCAGCTGTGAAACTTAAAAAAAAAAAAACCTGTCACTAAATTTCAGGGACTAGAAATCCAATGGGCAGCTGACATTACTGAATTGAGAATACCCTTCCTGTCCACCAATTATACTCAGTGTATTGTTTAAAGACTGCTTCATTTTTGAATCTATCTTCTTAATAGTGGAGACCTAATTTGGTCTTCAATGTTAATCTGATCACTCAATACTTCTCTCAATGTTAATCTGATCACTCAGTCCTAATCTTGTATAGGTATAGATTTGCTTTGCAGTCAAGTGGCATAGATGTGTATATATACATATATGTATTCCCTCTGACAACCCTCTGAAACATCTCTATTTCTCTCTCTCTCCACTCCCACCCCCGCCTTTATATTCTGATAAACCTAAACTTTTGTGGGGTTTGTCATTTCTTCTCAATACTTCTTACAGTGGTGGAGATAACCAGTAGACAAGGAGGAGGTTTTAACACCCTACACTAGTTTCCCTTACTTAGGCCACACAAGCTCTGGAAAAAGTGAAACCTCACTGACATGGCATCTGGAGACCAGCAGGGGGAGCTCTCAGGCCAAACCACTCTGCCTCAGTTGCAGACCCAGCCTGGAGAGGACTTCACAAAACCTACCTACTGCATTACCACGCAGCAGGAGGAAGATTCCCTCCTCCTCTGGCAACAGCTCACCCAAAGAAACTGTCACAATTCAACCAATAAGAAGCCACAATGCTGGGAATTCCCAGTTTATGCAATGGACTTTTTGGTTTATAGGAGCACCCCCCCACCTTGCCACCTTCAAGTTTGCCCTTTCCTTTTATAAAGAGTGTTCCTCTCCTTTGTTTGCTGGACTTGCCTATAGTTAGGCTGTAACTTGCTTGTCCTGAATTACAGTTCTCTGCTATTCCGGACCAAACTCACTTTTGTTGATAAAATAACTGACTTATTTTTAAGGTTAACAGCTCACTAATGCTCTTGGACACTTGTAACACAATTGGTTTATTGAAGGCTCTGAAAGTCCCATAGTAAAGAACAGGCTAAAGGAGTATAATGATTACTAACACAAAGGAATACCTCAAAGCCCAGAAAGAATTTTTCCCCTTTCCTTTGGGAAGGTGTTAAGTATCTTTTTAATAGTGGGTTTATTTTAGGAATCAAAGACAATTTTTCTCTTTGTTCTTCAAATTCATTCTACAAAACCAAAGTCTTGCTGAGGACACAGTACAAAATACATTGACCGTGTTTCTTGGACTCAGTGTTAAGTAGGTATTCACTGGTATGTCAAGTCAAAGATGTGTGAGAACCATACTTAGGAAATACTTTATGACATCTTACAAGAAAACATTATGTAAGTCTTGCCTGCAAGTATTTTAAGATTTATGATACAAAGGACAAAATTATTAACACCTACAGTATTTTGCAAAGTCCTTCTGCAAGTCTGTCCTGGCATTAATAAATGCACGTCCTCTCTCAGTTCCCACGACAAACACGTCTGTTTCATACATTGCGATGCAGGCCACTTCTGCCTTAGACTTGGCCAGTTCCTTACACTGAAAACAGAAACAAAAAATGAAGTATTACATACAAGGGCAGACCCAGATCTTGGGGGGGCCTGAGAGGTCTGCTTTAAGAAAAGAATACAAAATTCAGTACAAAAGTTGAGTATTTATTTAGATTAGAACAATCAAGAAAAAAAGCTGAACAAATTTATCAAGCAAATGTCATAACATCAAACCCACAGAAAAACAGGTTTTTATTAACTGCCTGTGATATTGTGATTTATAGCAAGAGATGTATTTGGTTTTCCACCATTCTGGCACAGTGCTCCTTGGAATTTCCTCGGAGTAAAAAGGTGTCTTTTGTTATGTTAATGAGGTGGCTCTTGGACCATACCTAAGGATGGGGCTGGTTGCTAGGAGAAACGACCATGTGATTAGAGGGTTGGAAATTTCAGTCCTACCCTCCAACATTCTGGGAAGGGAGAGGGGCTGGAGTTTGAATTCAATCACTAATGGCCAATGAAATAATCAATCAAGCCTGTGTAATGAAGCCACCATAAAATCCCAAGAAGGCTGGTTGATAGCTTCTGGGTTGGTCAACACATGGGAGATCTGTGGAAGAGTGGCACTCTTGGAAAGGGCATGGAAGCTCTGTGCCCTTTCTCCAAACCTTGCCCTATGCATTTCTTCCATCTGGCTGTTCCTGAGTTATAGTCTTTTATAACAAACTGGCAGTATGGAAAAATTCTGAAATGTCCTAAATTAGGTGACAAAAGGGCTAGAGATTGAGGGAGGTAAGTAAGGAAAGAGCAGTAGCTCAGCAGAAACTCCACACTCCTGGATGAGACACTTTCAACAATTATCTAGAAGGTCCCCATGGCCACTGCACCCCCCTGGTGTGACCACTATCTGACCACCATCAACAACCAATCCACAAGCCTTCTCTGTGGACTAACCACCTATGCCAGGACTTTCCCCAGCTTCATGTACACCTGCCTTTCTTATCTGTAGCCAATGTGAACTTAAAGAACTTTCTTTCCTTGGGTCCCCTCATAAACGTGCCCTCTATCTTGAGGCTGGTGGGCAAGTTGTCTCTGTGAACTGGCTTTGCTGCTGGGACAGTAACTGCTGGTCCCAGGACTGAGTCCTTATCTGGCTGCATCTGTAAAAACTCATTAAACACTTTTATTCCAGAGGTCTCTTGGTCTTTATAGAGTTTTTGATTTGTCACTAGTAATCTAATAAGTAAAATGCTTCTCTGAGTTCTGTGAGCCATTCTAGCTGATTAATCAACCCCAAGGGTCTCAGGAATGTCTACTCTGCACAGCTGGTCAGAAGCTCAGGAGACAACCTGAACTTGGAATTGGCATGTAAAGGATGCATGTGTGTGGGTGGCGTCTTGAGGGACTGAGATCTTAACCTGTGGGATCGGACACTATATCTAGGTAGATCACACCAGAATTGAGTTGAACTATGGGACTCCCAGCTGGTGCTGGAGCACTGCCTGGGGGCACAGTCATCCCCAAATACATTGGAACTGGTTTCAGAATCCCAATATGCCTTTTTTCTCTACATTTTTGGCTGCAGACTCTTTGCCTTACCCTTTGACAACAATTCTATAATTTCTATGGAGACAGTAGAGAGAGAACCTAGTATTTCCTCCAACATGGTTGATTACATTTTATTATTGATGGTAGAAGATACATAAAACAGGGAAAGTCATACAGAATCCCAATATGCCTTTTTTCTCACATTTTTGGCTGCAGACTCTCTGCCTTACCCTTTGACAACAATTCTATAATTTCTATGGAGACAACAGAGAGAGAACCTAGTATTTCCTCCAATGTGGTTGATTACATATTTTAAAATCTTTTTAATTTTTAATTTTTTAAATTTTGTTACCATTAATCTACAATTACATGAAGAACATTATGTTTACTAGGCTCCCCCCTTCACCAATTCCCCCCAACAAACCCGATTACAGTCACTGTGCATCAGCATAGTAAGATGCTGTAGACCCACTACTTGTCCTCCCTGTGTTGCACAGCCCTCCCCGTGCCTCCCCCCACATTATACAGGCTAATTATAATGCCCCCTTTCTTTTTCCCTGCCCTTATCCCTCCCTTCCCACCCATCCTCCCTTGTCCCTTTCCCTTTGGTAATTGTTAGGCCATTCTTGGGTTCTGTGATTCTGCTGCTGTTTTGTTCCTTCAGTTTTTCTTTATTCTTATACTCCACAGATGAGTGAAATCATTTGATACTTGTCTTTCTCCACCTGGTTTATTTCACTGAGCATAATACCCTCTAGCTCCATCCATGCTGTTGCAAATGGTAGGATTTGTTTTCTTCTTATGGCTGAATAATATTCCATTGTGTATTTGTACCACATCTTCTTTATCTATTCATCTACTGA